TGCTCAGAACCCTCGCCTCTGTCCGTGCACCCCAGGGCAGCTGGTCAGACAAGACCCAAGCTGTAGGCTGTGTAAAGAGGCCCCTGAGACAATCCACCACATACCTGCAGGGTGTCGAATGCTGGCAGGGAAAGCAGACATGGAACGCCACAACCAAGTGGCTGACATCGTCTACAGAAACATCTGTTCAGAGTATGGACTGGAAGCCCCAAGGCCAAAATGGGAAACACCCCCTGGACATGTCTCCCGTCCATCACAGAGACAAACCACCAGTCACACTGTCAATAACACCTCTGGACAATTTTAGAGCCTCCACTTAAACTTGGGAAGAAACCAGAAAACCTGGTGAAAAGCCACGCATGCATTGCGAGAACACGCCAACTCCAAGCAGAAAAAGATGCAGGCAGGATTCAAACCTGCAACCTTCTCGTTGTGAGGCAACGATGCAACCAACTGCACCACTATGCAGCACCTGATTCACCGCTGTAACAAACGAGTGCTTTCTCCTAAGCTGCTAAATAATAATACCTCAGTGTTCATAAAACAGATTATTTTATTGTGAAATAGCATTACAGGTCCAATAAGGGTCACGTCTCTGTTGGACACCACGAGGTGAAACGCAAGCAGTGATAGAAATTCGTGCTTAAGGATCAGTGTGCTGGCTTGGCTCTGAGCCACGAGCTGCAGCAGAACTCAGACAAGTAGACAACAAAAATAAAACAAAATAAAAAAGGCATCTTTGATTCAAGTAAACAAAAAGTTTCAAGTTCAGAAATTTGGCCCAAAGTGAAATGTACAAACTTCAAATGAAAATCATATTTTTAATGGCACATAAATAAATACAAACATATGTCAAATAAAAATATACAACTCCCCACTGATCCAAAATAAAAAAATGGCAGAGGTATCCCCCTGGTGAAAGACTGTCTTTGTACTGAAACAATCCCATTTATGCTGTTTACTTTTCCTTCCCAGTGGTAAAACAGGTTTTTTAAATTCATATTTCAAAGCCTAAAAAAGTAAACGCCTCTATAAATCTGTGTTTTTACTAAAAATACACTTCAAAATTCTCAATATTCTTACAACATATAAAAAATGTCCCAGAGTATTTTTCAGAAATGGCCATAAAAATGTGTTGAGTAACAGATGAGCTCACGGCACAGAAACAAACAGCAGGACAGTCCGTGCTGTGCTGAGTGGTAGCAGGAACCAAAGACAGATGTTCTATATGTTAGCAGAAGATCGGAGGGACATGGAATCTCTTCAGAGTCATCCGGATGGATCCCAGATCACGGTTTCAGTCTCTCCAGACGGTTTCTCTAAGGCCACCTGAGGATGGAGTCAGAGTTTCAAATTTACAGGAAGTGAGAGATTAAATTCATCTTTCAATAAAAAGAGTTAAACAATCCACGACTGCAGCTTCGTGAATCCATCCATCCAGACATTGGGTGTGTCCGAATCCACGGGAAGGATGCTTGTAAGAGCGCATTTTGAGGTCGATGACGTCACAGCGCAGCGACGAGTACTGTCCCAATTCCAAGAATACTCATTCTCACGTCCTCAAACGCGCCCTCGCTCCGCCCACATTTCGAGGATGGGTCTGTTGTTTCCTCACAGAACAAGGCTATCCCAGCATGCTTTGCACGCCGGCTGTGGATTTTCAACAGGCAGAGAAAATGGGGAGAGCTACGAAGTTTTAAACGTAAGTTTGTTAAAAACTAGCCGTAGAAACCTAAAAAGCTTAAAGCGGTTCAGTTTTTAGACATTTTTCATTTGTACATTTGTTTTTTAAATTACATTTTAGGCAGAAATCAGCCAGAACGAGTTTGTATCGTAGGTCTCAGTCATTCCTGTGTGTGTGTGTGTGTGTGTGTGTGTGTGTGTGTAGCGAATCAAACTTGTCATTTGTTTTAAGGACAACGGAGCAAAGCGTTTTTATTAAGATTAGAGGTGAAGAGTGAAGCTGTTTACACACAACCACAGAAGTTCTGCTGTGAAAAGTAGTTTTGCATTCGGGGATTTACACAGCTGACACGTTTTAATGAAGTAAAAAGTTTGTGTGAAGAATATAATTTTTATCTTCTCATGTGGATAAATGTAAAAATGTGTTTATTGCCTTTTTGTCACCTGTGGTCTGATTTTCTCTGTAGGACTGCAGGTGTCCAGGGTCAGGAGAGGCTTTATCTGTTGGACCTCCTGGGAGAGAGGCCTTCTACTGTCATCATGTTAATGTTATTTAGCTGTTTGATATTTGAACACGTTTATTAAAACAAATACTAACTGATAACTCTTTCTGGTCATTGATTCTATCACCAGTTTTATTATTACAGATGTTTTTGAACATGTTACATGAACAGAAAATGAAAAGATGGTAAGGAGACAAGATTATTTATAATACGTTACACTTATTTACAGATCAGAACCAGTATGGACCAGTTATGTACGGTTAAAGCAGGATTAACCTGAGTGACTCTTCCTGGATCATTTATTTAAACTGAGTGAGCAGGAAGTCTTTTTTCAGTGCAGCTGGATCTGCTGCAGGAGGATCCAGACGTGGATGGAGGGCTGGAGCAGACCCGTGGCTGGACGTTTCTGGCCAGAGGAACATCATCAGAATCAGAATCAGAATAAGCTTTATTGCCAGTGCTCCAGCAACCCAGAGCATAGGAACTTGACTCCGCAATACAACCTGACCAAGGTTAAACACATACACATGTAGACAAAAACAGGTACAGGCAGTCACGAGAGCAGCCAGAACGGCGCTCATTTCATTAGATGAAAAGGGTGTTACATGAGGATACTCGGGGTAAGGTAAAAAAGGCATAGCAGAGTTAGACCCAGCGGGGATTAACTCTAGTATACAAAAAACTCCTCAACATAGAAGCACGAACCTCACAGATACAAAACATCAGAGTCCGATGAGGAGGCGGGGTTGGGCGGGATCCTGAGTCCTCCAACGGGAGCTGCCATTACGGCGCTCAGCCAGCTGCAGTCCAACAGGTGGGAGGGAGAAATGAGGGACAGAGAGCACATTGAGTTTCCCGCAGGTTGCTGACCTCGAAGCAGAAGTCACAATCTGAAGGCGGGGGGAAGGCCGGGACACAGCATCTGTCAGCATTCCTCCTTTCGTGGGGGTGTGTTGGTGGCAGCCTTGGAGGCTGCCTTGGCGTCAGATAAGGATAAACAAGACTTTGTTTAGGGCAGGCAGAGATAATTTTCCTCTCTGCCTTGGAGTCTATAAGTGGTCATTCATGTCCACCAGTGAAGCCATTTATATGTTCTAAACATCCCCACACCGTCCGGCAACCCTCTCCGAGATGACATCCATCTTGCGCACTAACACAGGCAACGCCGCGAGGACACTGTCCAGCTTACGGTTCACCTCAAGTAACGTCCCAGTCTGTGAGGTCACAGCTCGGGCGGCACATTCCGTGGGTGCGTGTCGCACTCCAATCGCTCCCGTCTTCCCAAATTTGCAGAAAACCAGAAATCCTCCCACTCCAATCAGAAGAAATCCAGTGATCATCAGGCCGAACATACACAAATCTTCCACGTCCTCGATGGACAACTGAGAGGCACACGATCCGCCAGACCTTCCAAGAATCGAGTGCATATCCCGCTGCGAATCATACAGGACGGTCTGCAGAGAGAGCTTTGGGACGCTTCCTCTCACTGTCCACTCCATCGTCCATCTACAGGGTCTGCTGGGCTGGCTCAGACGACGGCTGTTACATCTCTGTGAATGACTTGCCTGTTAACAGTAGTGGTGGTCTGCTGGTACCTCCTCCAAGACAGAGCACCACTGACCTCCTCCACACACATCTTCCTCACGCTCATCCTGCAGACCCACAACTTCACCAGCACAGAGGCAGATGTGCAGCACAGTGCATGCTGACTTGTAATAGATTAAAAAAGAGGGTTTTTATAGAAAAATGTAAAACAAACATATAACCTGCAGTACACTGGTTCTGTTCAGTTTAAAGAAAAGCAGCAGGGAAAACTACAGAGAATTTACATTTTTAAGACAGATCTAATCATTATTAGGCTTAAGTTGAATAAACAAATGCACACTGAAAACACTTCAATGCTATTTTATTAAGAAGCCTGTTTTTTAAAGCATTTTACCCTCATTTGATGCTAAATAAGTTCTACGGTCCAATTTACATCAGAAAACATCCTGCTGCATTCAACATTTATAATGCATTTGGTTTATATGAATTACCTACATGATAATACTCTGTAGTAATGTGTTATGTACGTTTAACAAGTTCATTCTGTAGCTTAAAACATACATGAAACCATCTAAAGTTAAGTCCTGAAAGCTTCTAGAATAAACAAAGTTACTTTACCTGAAAACGGTTGTGAACAAACGCTGCTGATGGACGTGAAGCTGCTCTAGCTCCTTAACATTCCTGCTCCATTTTCGCTAGCTTTAGCATTTTTCCTTTACGTGTAGCTGCCGCCACGGCTGTGACGGGACCTACGGGCCACCGTAGAGGTGAAGGCTAGACTGTCCGAATTCAGAGCCGCTGGGTTCCGGTTTTAGCGGTCTTCAAGGACCCGGCGTTGCTAGACTGGCGAGGACCCGTACTCATAAGCATCCTTCCTGTGGATTCGGACACACCCATTCTCTTCCACTTATCCGGCGTGGAGTCGCGGGCGCAGCAGCCTAAGCTGAGATCAACTGGAATGTTTACTTTTTCAAGTGCCTTGAGACACCCTTGTCCCATATAAATAAAATGTAGTTTGTTATTTTCATCCTTTTTAGGGTCTACCAGTGTTTCCTAAATAGAATAGATTAATAGAGAGAATAGAGAATAGATTTTAAGATCCTCCTTCTCACATATAAACCTCTTAATAATCAAGCTCCATCATACATCAGTGATCTGATTGTTCCATACGTTCCTAACCGAGCACTTCGCTCTCAGACTGCAGGTCTACTGGTGGTTCCCAGAATATCTAAAATTAGGATGGGAGGCAGATCTTTTAGTTATCAGGCTCCTCTCCTGTGGAACCAGCTCCCAGCTTTAGTCCGTGAGGCAGACACCTTGTCTACTTTTAAGAATAGGCTTAAAACATTTTTATTTGATAGGGCCTATGGTTAAAATCTGATGTTAGCCTAAATCTGGACAAGTGGGGGAGTAGAGGGAGGTGGAGTGTACAGTCGGTAAAGACGGCTCTCCCTTGCCCTGACTCCAACATGCCTCCATCTAAATAGGATAGATTATCCAGAGTTATCTCTGTAGTTATGCTGCTATAGGCTTAGTCTGCTGGAGGACACACTGACCACTTCTCACACTCTACTGCTTTCTCACACTCTACTGCTTTCTTCTACAATCTGCTCTTTAACTGTATTATTTTCTGCTATTTCAGCTGTTAACTTTATTTTCTCTCTAAGTGTTTTTCTCCCCAGAAGAAGCTACAAAGATGTTCTGCTGAGCTGTGGTGGCCTCATGGAGGGGAACATCGACTAGCATACTGCTGCTAACCACTAAAACATTCTCCCTCTCCTGATAATAACTTTTTACTCTCTTTGACGTTGGATGAGCTACTACTAGTTTATCCGTTTAATTATAGATCCACTAGGATAAATACAATAAAGTTTATCTCTCACCAAATAGAATATTTACTAAGAAATCACAATATAACTATAGCATTACTTGGTATATATGTTTTGTGTGTGTGTGTGTGTGTGTGCGTGTGTGTTGTGTGTGTGTCTGCTCTGTCTTCTCCATCCCCAGTGAGTCGTGGAGGATGGCTGCTTATACTGAGCCAGGATCCTCTGGAGGTTTCTTCCTGTTAAAAAGAGAGTTTTCCTCTCTACTGTCGCTAAATGCTTGCTTAGTATGAGGATTGCTGTAAAGACTCTGACACTAGTCAGTGACTTGATGTAACCTGCTGGGTTCCTTTTATAGGAAACTTTTTTCTGATTGGCTTAATGACCTGACCTGTATTGGAATGTTTACTATGTGAAGTGTCTTGAGACGACTCTTATCGTGATTTAGCGCTTTATAAATAAACTTGAATTGAATCAAATTGAATTGAATTCCTCTGTGGGGGCCAACTGCAGGTTGTGCTCCATCGTAGCCTCAGCAGGTCTACCACTGGCTCAGCTATGTTTAGGTCTGGCCAATCACAGCGCTCTACATTTGTGGACAGACGTTGGGTGGACTTAGCACCATTATAGCAGCAGCTATCAAGAGAAGTGTTTGTCTGTGATGCAGCAACAAACTGGTGAAGTTCATCAAATACTGCCGGAAACATTTGTTCAAATACTTATGCCACTCAGAAGATGAGTGTAGGTGGATTTAGAGATTCTACCATCAGGTGAAGCTCTGTCAGACAGAATAATCTATAGCAACAACAGCTCGAGGTTCTGAACAGTCTCACCTCATCTAATCGGGTCTGCAGACTCACTCGGCCACCTGCTCCAGGCATCCTGCTTAAAGCTGCCTCGATCTGTGCACACAAACACACACGATTAACTATTAAGTAGAAACCTCCATGGTGACACAATGATGAAGCAGCTAAAGAGCAGGACTCATCCGACCAGGGTAACGGGTCACGGTCAGAGGGAAGTGAACATTCCTAAACGCTCTTTTACAAGCGGCAGCATGGGGAGAGCTGTGTGTGAGGGATGACAGAAAAAAGGGGAAGTACTCACCTGTAGCTTCTCCTGTGTCAGCTCGTCCAACAGCCTTTCTGCCTCGGCCAGCGACTGCGGTCTGTCTAAGACCAGCTGAGCCGAGTCCTCTGAGAAGTTCTGCGAGTCGGGTAAACCCTGGTCACGCTGCTCTTCCCAGCCCAGCTGGGGGTCCAGAGGCTTCACACGGCGAGAGGACTCGGACTCCTGAAGCTCTGAAGGAAAATAAACATGTGGTGTTTCATTTCTGTCTTGCAGACCAACAAGAAGTTCTGCTGTTCAGCTGTTTGAAAACACATTTAGATAATCTCCATGAAATGATGGACATCATTATGAACCCATGCTTTCGTTCTTTTTTAAACACAGAAACAGTTTTGTTTACCTGTTTGTAGCTACAGTTTCGCCGACGGCTGCCGGCTTCTTCAGGCTGACGCTGATGGTGGCGCGTCACTTCCTTCTCCGTTTATCTACGGGCAGCAGAGGACGTTGTCGCCCTCTACTGCCCGCTCTCCCCTCTCCGACGATGCAGTCCCATGCGTGGTCCAGCGTGTAAACTCCGTCGTCCCTGTTCATGGTCCCACATCCACGTCTCCTTATCTCGATTGCTTCCTTGATCCATCTTTTGTATTTTTGTTGTTCGGTGGTTATGATCCGTGTGCTGTCCCAGTCCATTATATGGTTTTCTCTTAAGCAATGATCTGTTACGGCTGACTTTTTTATTGTACTTTCTGCTTCTTCTTTTGCTGCTCTTGTGTGTTTACGATTTGCCTCTTTCTCGCACTCCTTTCTGTGTTCTATTGTCCGTGTGTTGAGTTGGCGTCCGGTTTCTCCTATGTATGTTTTATTGCATATTTTGCATGGGATTTCGTAGATGACTCCACATTTTTGTCCAGCTGATATTGAAACTGATATGAAACTGTAGCTACAAACAGGTAAACAAAACTGTTTCTGTGTTTAAAAAAGAACGAAAGCATGGATTTAGAAAGACACAGCAAGAACACACCTAAGACATCATTATGAACGTTTTAGGAAACGACTGTTCTGAACGGTTTCCAGAGCTGAAGTTCACCCTAACCCTCTGAGGGGCGAGCATCGTTGTGGTGTTTGTTCTAAACGAGGTTTGGACACATTACTACTTCTCCACATCGTTGCCTAATCAGCTCTGTGTTTAGTTATTTTACTCAAATGGTTGTTTATACTTTTCCATGGGTAACTTATCTGTTTTTTATCATTTCTGTCATGGTCATTTTTAGAACTTGTGTTCTGTTGTTGACAAATAAAGTTTGATGTCATCTGAACCTAAAAACGTGGAAGGAATCTCACAGGATTCTCTCGTTAACAGCGAGTAGGGGAAAGATCTGTTTCTGAGGTATTTTGGTCGCTGCAGGCCCCCGTATCTGTTACCTGGTAACTTTTCTGTAAGTTTCGTCAGCACATGACTGACTGGATGTGTAAGAATCCATGTTATGAGGAGGCGGAGATGGAGAGGCTATTGAAATTCACGTCATCTCACTTTGCTTCTCGTTTGAAAAGATATTGATTGATTGTATAGTCTCAAGATATTTTCCAGTCCTAGTGTCATGACTCCCAATCCTTCACCCTCCTCAGCCTTCATGCAGCACACCTGGTCTCATCATCAAACCCTAGCCAAGCCCTGTTTCCCTGACTACCACAATCAGCTTCATCCACTTCACCTGCTTCTGACTCCTCAGCTCATCACTCACACCTGTTTACCCTGCTACAAAAGAACCAGCCATCCAGTCATTCGGTGCCAGATTATTGAAAACTTCGTGCCAGTAAATTCTCCAGCCATCCACCCTGCCTGATTTCTGCCTCCGGACCTCGTTTTTCTCCTGACCCCTGCCTTGAACTCTGCCTGCCATCACGACCCTCGCCTGTCTCCTTCCACGTCTCCAGCCTGCTCCCGGTACCTGCTTGTGCCAATCTGGTTTTGACTCACGCCTGCCCTCCGACTCTGTCTCCTGCCTCGCCCTCCTCTGGTAACTCCGCATCCAAATAAAGACTTTTAAAGAACTTTACTGTGTTTGGCGTCTTCACGGGTCTTCCTAGTTCTGCTCATGACACCTAGGTTGGATTAAAGAAAGTAGGCTCATTTTTGTTTTCAAATTCTGGAATAGATGATTAAAATCTCAATCTTTTCTAATCCTAGAGTTTCACTGTCTATCTCTATCAGAAGCTAATGCAGCAGATGGGTGTAGGAGACTATTTTCATGTTCAGCCTGCATGAAAAACTCAGAGTGACTCATTATAATCAGAAATATTCATTAAAAATAGTGAAGTTGACCTTTAAAGAGGAGTCTGCAAGTTCCTTCTCACACATGACCCCAACTGCAGCTGATATTTATCTGCAGCTCTCATGGGGTGAGAGGCAAAGGACACCATGGATAGATCTCCGGTCCATCACACAGACACACAACCGATCTAGACTCTCCATTTACCCTAACACACAAGTTTTTGGTCTGTGGGAGGAAACCGGAGAACTTGGAGAAAACCCATGTATGCACGAGGAGAACGCCAACTCCATGCAGAAATGCAGCAGCAGGGATTTGAACCTTTGACCATTTTTCTGTCACCCAACGGTAAAACTTATAGATATGATTTTCATGAATAAGAAAATTCAACTTCTTCAAAATTAATAATCAAAAACAGCCACTTTTTATATTAAACGAGGTTCTTTCAGCTTCGCACATGAAGGTTTTTTGAGTTACCTTTACATGTTTCGACCGTTGTCTGCGGTCTTCAACAGAAGTGTCACAGGTGTTAAGAGTTACGCGTCTGTAGCAGCGGTTCTTCTGGTGGGCGCGACCAACCCGAACCTGTCAGATCCACCGGGTCAGCCACGCCAACCTCCGCTGGCTGGTCTTTGGAGAAGGGAATCCTAGGTGCGAGACAGCTGATAGGCCCCCTCGTCTCTGTTCATGTTCCAATGCTCACGTTTCCTTATTTCTATTGACCCCCTGACCCAACGTTTGAACCGGTTGTTCTCCATGTTGATAATTTTCCCTTGATCCCAGTCCATGATGTGATTATTTCGTTTGCAATGATCTGAGATGGCTGACTTGAGGGTTTGCTCCTCTGCTTTTTTTGGTTGTCCTTGTGAGTCTTTCTGTTGTTTCCTTCTCACGTTCCTTCTGGTGCTCTTTTCTTCTTGCGTCATATGTTCTGCCAGTTTCCCCTATGTATGTATGTTTTATTGCACGACATGCAGGGTATTTCGTAGATTACATTACATTTCTTGTCTGGTTCTATTTTGTCCTTGGGGTGTACTAGTAGCTGTCTGAGTTTCATGTGAGGTTAGACAGTTGTGCTGATTTGTTGTTTTTTCATGGCCCTTTGTATACGTTCTGTATACGTTAGACGCATCACACAAACACCTGTGACATTTCTGGTGAAGACCGCAGACAAAGGTCGAAACATGTAAAGGTAACTCGAAACACCTTCATGTTTGAAGCTAAAAGAACCTCGTTTAATACTTAAAAAGAGGACATAATGAACATTGTAGTCACTTTTTAGTGGTTTTACATAGAGAGAAGGTCTATGAACGCAGTCTTGTTTTACACCTCAAACCAACAGTTCAGAACAAAGAACAAAGCAGCAGGATGTAAGTTAAAGTGATAGAAAACAGTTGTTCAGCACAGAGGTTAAACGGGCTGTTACCGTTGCTGTCTGCTGACGTGAACTGGAGTCTCTTCCTGGGACTGCTGCTGTGGAACGAATGGCGTCTCTTGTCAACTGGTCCATCGTGTCTAGAGGTAGGACACCGAGACTTTGAATTAACAGCAAGCCGCCTTTACCAATTATAAAATTGATTTCTTTTCATAGTAAGAGTTAAATAAGATTAGATCTTCCTCACGCATGGAGCAGGTACTCCTCTCGAGGCATCAAGTGACCAAAGGCTGTGGAGAAGTTCTCAGAAGGGCAGCGTTTGGGGCTGGACTTGGCAGACAAAGGCCCGAGCAACGTCTCTCTCTTAGCTGGATGGAAGACAGGAAGACATCCTCAGTTTAAAAAGTGAACAAACACAGTTTTCTTTTACTTGTTTAATAATTTACAAACATGCTGTGATAGAAGATGATAACTGGTAAAATCATGAAAAAAAGATCTTTTAGCGGAACAAACACCGCTTTCCGGATTTTCCCACTCAGGACAGAAGGGGTGATCAAATTCAAATGGAGTTTCAGCACAACATTCACACAATGTACTGAAACATTTGTACATGTGACAGGAAATGACCTGTAGCTTCCAGCAATGGTCAGTTTAGGTACAGTCTGACCTTTCACCATCTATTCAACATCTGGTCACAAAGGAGACACAACACTGCATGTGTTCTCTTTAAATGAGCCGGCCTTCATACCAGCTGGGGCTCACAGACTCTGCAAGTCTGAAAGATAAACAATAACTTTCTTTCCCAAGGTCCATCAGTCTGCCTCCACAGAAGGAACAACTCCAGCTCCAATCAGTTGCTAAAATCAAGAATGATTTCCTAAATCAATATGAACTTCTTCCATGACTCATAATCTAGATAATCATTAAATAAACATTTATTACTACTTATAATATAGTATAGGAATCTGTGCTCGCTGAATGGACGTTATGTTTATGTCTACTAGAACCTGCCACGTGTTCAACATGTTATGACGACGAGGTCCTCACACCTGCACTCACACAATAACAAAGTACGGCTAAGTTAGACTACAACACATAACTTTTTTTTTTTTTTTTTTTTTACCAGTCTGGACATCCGATATCAAAGGCGTGTTTCTGAGTTGTCTTAGTAAAACATCTCCAAACTTGTCAGCCTCTGATTGGCTGTGCAAGTCATAACATCTAAACCTTAAAACTGGATCATCCTGAGTGATTCGTTAGTTCTAGAGAATCGATCAGACCGGCCATCTGTAGTAAACCTCTTTAACCATCAAAGATTTTGACACGTCGTCAAAACCTTTTTGCAACTGAGAAGCTGATGAGCGAACAGTTCCTGCAGAAACAAAGCTGATATTAGACTCCTTAAGAGTCCTCCAGACGCACGGTTCCATCCAGCTGTAGTGACCCGAGACATCTCTGGACTGAAGAGTCGGTACCACGGTATTCTACAGCCCTCCGGTGCCAGAGGTCAGCCGACTCCTGCAACTTTCGGATCCACTATGCAACGGGTGAAGTGGACATGACTGATAGCGTCTGATGTTCTTCTGATGAGAAGAACTTTATAACGTAGAGCAAACCAAACTTTTTTCACCAGAACTCGGCTTACTTTGATAAGGAAGCTCTGACTGACATCGCATTCACACATAGGTTCTGATGGATAAAAGCTGAATATCAAGCAGAGTTCACCTCAGCCATATATGTTTAGATGTTTTTAGGGAAAGTACTGACCCAAATACGTTTGAATGTTTTCAGAACCTCCTTTCTGCTCGAGGTGTTTTGTTCCATTATTTGAAGCTAGTCAGACGGGGAGTTTCATGCTATCAGAAGGATTCCTTTTGTTTTCTGAGGCAAAGGAGGGTGTTTGAGGAATTTGTGGGTGTGTGTGTTGTCAAATAAAAGCTCTCCACAAGCTTTGGCTCTTTGTGAGAGGAAAATGGCTTCTGACTCCAGTGTGTCTCTGTGTCTTTCCCTCACCCGTTGCAAAGGAAGCTTTGTAACGTATTTTAAGGTTTGTTACAATTTACCAAATTACCTGTATGTGCTTTGACTTTCTTTAAGGTAATAGAGGAGAGGTAATATGGGAGAGAGACGATGGAAAGCTCCGGAGGGGGTTTGGGCCTTCTCTCTCTCTCCTCTGTTTCTCTTTGTGTAAGGTGTGTTATTTCAGGTAAAGGACCATGGCACATATAAAATACCCAACAGTAAGTGGTGCTGAAACCCGGGAAAGCAGATGCCCTCCGGTGGGGGATCGCCTTTCAGGGAGCTGCATGGCCACTTCCTCATCAAAGTCCGGCCAGTTGAATTGCTCTCCGGCCGGCTGCTCCACAGGCGAGCTTCCACCTACGGCTCTCGCTCTACCAGGACGAAGAACGTCAAGTGAGTACCTAAATTAAGTTGCACCCTTTATTTTTAATAACTAGTTGGCCATCCACGCTCGAAAGACGTTTCGGGCCTCGGCTGATGGCTGGACTGAGAGCCGCCGAACTTTGTCCTGGACTCCTTTTGCCTCAGTTACACCAGCGCTGCGTTAAAGCGGCAAACCGCAGTTGGCATAGACACACACGGTCTCAGCTGCTGACAGGAAGGATGGCAAACTGCATGCGGCACTGCAATGAGAGTGATGTGTAGCCACGTTAAAGCGGATAGTAATTTGAGAGAAGAGGAAAGCGAGGGAGGTTGTAATCCAGTCTGTGTCCGCACACACAGGCACCCCACAACGAATAGAGAAAGAGAGAGAGGGGTGGGTCGTAATAGAGTTGGATGTGCAATCACTATGTAAAGCTCACTGACGATTGTATTGTTTAACTATTTTACGCCGGGGACACACCGGCCGCGGAAGCGCCGAGAAGCGAATCGCTCACGAAATTCGGCCGCTGCTCGCCGCTCCTCAGTTCAGATCAGATGCGCCCCAGTCAAGGCGCGCCTCGGCTCAGCTGTAGTTTTTCTTTTAAACACTTGGTGTCCTCCATTTCCTCTCTGCCTTTTCTCAGCTCTTTTCCTCTACGTTTGAGTGTTTGTACGCGTGTGCGTGCGTGCGTGTGTGTGTGTGTGTGTGTGTGTGTGTGTGTGTGTGTGTGAACCTATGGTATGAGTTGTTTCTGCCAGTTGAATCTCTTGGAACCCGCTCCAATTCTGCAGCTGTATCCTAGCAGTTTCTTCCTAAATGGGTATGTAAATAATCGTGTTTTTCGGGGGTCGTACAGCTCCTTGTATTTCTCAACTTCCATAATTAATTTAAAGTCATCCATCTTAACTGCTTGCGTCAGACTTTCTGCCTCTCTGTCCTGTTTGCTCCGGTGAAAAGACACCCAAAACCACACACCCCTTCACGTGGTCACACACGCACACAAGTTCGATGTGTGTGCGTGTTCGTGTGGTTTTTCTGCAGTGTCTGATTACGAACACATTTGACTATTGCGGAATTTTATTTTGAAATGCTTTATTTTGTTAACTTTACCGGCCTGCCTCTTATGTCTACGTTTGACTTCCTGCCAGAATTGACGCGATTCACCCGCGGCTCGCGAAAAAAATAGAGCCAACGCCGAAATGATCGCTGCACGGCGCGGGCTGGAGCGCCGGCGCGAGGCGATTCGCGGCGCTTCGGCGGCCCATGTGGTCTATAGAATAGCTTAACAAGGGCGCCGAATGAAGGCGGTCCCATTTTCGCGGCGCTTCGCGGCGCTTCCGCGGCCGGTGTGTCCCCGGCGTTATGGTGCGACAAAGGTACATAAAAATCACTGCTACATTTGGCCAAAGAATCCCAAGCCGGTCCAAATTTGCCCTCGCTGTGTGCTATTCGTAATGTGTTGTGCATCCAGTATCAGGGCTGTGTCCCATTTCTGATCAGGTTTGCGACTTCTGGTTAAGCAGATCTTTGTGGTCATGTGATTCGTTGCTGACATATTGATGTCGGCTGTCCCATCACAGACATTGGGTGTCAGTGAAAATCCGTGCTAAAGTGTTAAAAACTTAGCTGTGAGCTTTGCTTCAGTGGATATCTGTGTATGCGTGTGTGATAAAGGGGCGTGTATCTGGGTTTTTGAGTATGTTTGAATCCTGCAGGTTCTGTTCTAAGTGTGATTGTGTAGCTATAATTCTGAAGCTTTGAGCCGGCTCTGTCTGTCTGTTTGTCTGTCTGTCTGTGCATGTATGAGAAAGTATGAATTTAGAGGTACTGGAAAAAGAAACTGATGAACCTGAGGAGGAAGCTGTTTATTACCAACAGGGTAGCTACTAGGGATGAGCGAGTACACCACTATCTGTATCTGTATCTGTATCTGTTCAACCAACTAAATTATCTGTATCTGTATCTGTACTCGGAATGGGCGTGGCATAACCCGGAAGTGGGCGTGGTTTAACCGGAAGTGGATGTGTTTACATCAATGTATTGTTTTAAGTCTGAAATTGATATGGAATGATCAGAAGTTGATATGTGTATTGTTTATTTGAAAACTATTTACAGAGCAGCCTCAGAATTGAGATTAAATATTTTTGATCACAATAGTAAAGAAACTATTACAGAAGAAGTTTTTCAATAAAATCAGAACATTAATATTTAAGTGCATGGATTAATACATCTGAACTCATGCAGTAGGAACTAGGAAATATGAAATGCTAGAACCAGACACAACTTTCTATATATTTTTTTATTTTAATTTGATTAAACTGATTTTTTCTTAACGTTCTTGGCATTTTCCCACACAAAGTTAAACAAAGAAATGTTGATTAATGTGTGTGTGTGTGTGTGTGTGTGTGTGTGTGTGTGTGTGTGTGTGTGAGAGAGAGAGAGAGAGAGAGAGAGAGAGAGAGAGGAGAGAGAGAGAGAGAGAGAGAGAGAGAGGAGAGAGAGAGAGAGAGAGAGAGAGAGAGAGAGAGAGAGAGAGAGAGAGAGAGAGAGAGAGAGAGAGAGAGAGAGAGAGAGAGAGAGAAAGAGAGAGAGAGAGAGAGAGAGAGAGAGAGAGAGAGAGAGAGAGAGAGAGAGAGAGAGAGAGAGAGAGGGTGAGAGGGAGAGAGAGGGAGTTCAAAAAAAATAAAAAAACCCGACCGGAGCGGAGGTAGTGACAACAGCACGTCAGCTCTGTCTTGTCAAATGCACCATGTCAGTTACGAAAAAAGTAACTTTAAGTATTCAACCCGAAAAAGAGGCGAGCTGAAGAAAACCTAGGGAAAAACTGAAGAAACGTGAGAAACAGTGAAGCCATCACAGCGCGATCCGTTACTGTCTGTGTGTGTGTGCGTGGATGAGCCGGCCGGTGTACCGGACTGCGCTCCCGGTCGGCTAGAGAGTTTTGTAAGTAGGGAGGGGGCGGGTGCTCTATGTGACTGGCCAATCACAGAGCGTGAAGACAGTCAGTTACCCAATGAAGATTTTCCTTCAGCACGATTACAGATAATGACTCGTTTTACTCGTTTCATGCTCGTATTCGTCAAAAATGCGTTATCCGTACCGGATACTCGTCTGAAAACGAGTCTGCCTGCAAGCTTAAGGCAGATCGTTTACTTATCTGCCGTCCTCGGCGAGCCCGCATGCGTTCCATCAGAGGATGGTCAGTCGTAGTGGCCCTCTTCAGCAGTATGCAGCAGTGGGAGGGATACGATGAGTGACCTTGACGCCTTGCAAACCCTTAACATTAACATCAACTTTCCCCCTCTAGCAACTTCCTGAAATCCAACGAATCGACTGAGTTGGCTGGTATCTGGTAACTGGTATCAGCTCGTGTTAAAGTTTCTTGCACCTGTTATGGTTTTCCTAGTCATGATTTGCTTAGTTTTAGGAAGAATATGGTAAGCAAACTGATGACGAACGCTTTGGTTCCTGAGACAAAAAGAAGAGCTTGCAGAAGATGAATATATTGCCTGATAAAGTTGGTTTCATTCTGTAACCATTGTTGGTTGATGTTCTTGTTATCACCTCAGATTGTGTTATTCTTCATTGTTATAATTGTGTAAGGTGAACTCTGTTTGAACAGGGGGAAATGTTGGATAAAAGCTGAATATCAAGCAGAGTTCACCTCAGCCATATATGTTTAGATGTTTTTAGGAAAAGTACTGACCCAAATATGTTTGAATGTTTTCAGAACCTCCTTTCTGCTCGAGGTGTTTTGTTCCATTATTTGAAGCTAAACTAGTCAGACGGGGAGTTTCATGCTATCAGAAGGATCCCTTTTGTTTTCTGAGGCAAAGGAGGGTGTTTGAGGAATTTGTGGGTGTGTGTGTGTTTTCAAAAGAAAGCTCTCCACAAGCTTTGGCTCTTTGTGAGAGGAAAATGGCTTCTGACTCCAGTGTGTCTCTGTGCCTTTCCCTCACCCGTTACAAAGGAAGCTTTGTAATGCATTTTAAGGTTTGTTACAATTTACCAAATTACCTGTATGTGCTTTGACTTTCTTTAAGGTAATAGAGGAGAGGTAATATGGGAGAGAGATGATGGAAAGCTCCGGAGGGGGTTTGGGCCTTCTCTCTCTCTCCTCTGTTTCTCTTTGTGTAAGGTGTGTTATTTATGGCGTTTAAAGCGTGCCACAACCCGTGCACGCGCATTGGGTCCACAGCGCGCGTGTGAACGGGACTCGCGAGCGGAAATATACATGGCGAGAGGTCATTTGTGCACTGAGAGGGAGCAAACTGTGTCTGTGAGCGCACAAGGATGTGCACAAGTGACAAACCTGCGTGCGCGCGTTGTCAACGAGCACACGGCAGAGGAAAACGTGCGCGCGCGGCAGCCTCTGTGCGCGCTCGGCAGCCTCTCTGCGCGCTCGGTTTCTGACTCCTGCTCGCTCGGCTGTAAGGGTTTTGGCACTCTGGAGGCGTGGCCTGTGGCAGATCTCCTCTTTCCTCTGATTGGTTAGTGTACCCCGCACTTTACCCTCTACCTATCTATATAAAAAAGTCTACTAGTCAAGTAGTTGCTGGCATAGCTCAGTTGGAAGAGCGGGTGACTCTCGCCCCGGAGGATCCGGGTTCGAGGCCGGGCAAGGAAAATGCAGTAGATGTCATGTTGATTTTTCTTAATTTCAGGTATTTTACAGTTGTGACCGTTCAACTGTCATTAAACGTCCGAATGTTTGCTGGGCAGTGTTTTAAAAAGTGCACATAAGCTAGATGGTTTTAACCATATAAAATTACATTTTTTGTGATACTGGAAAAATACATACTGAAATAAAACTACTGATTGAAAACTTTATGACTGTGGTTGTACAATATATGACTCACTAATACACTGCAAACTCCCTTAGAGTGGGGCTTCCAGAGAGAGAGAGAGAGAGAGAGAGAGAGAGAGAGAGAGAGAGAGAGAGAGAGAGAGAAAAGTTCTTGCCTCATTAATGAATTGTTTATTTTTTTCAGTATTTAATTGACAAATTATCCTTTCAAATAATTAATTGATGAGTTACATAAT